ATATATATATTCGTTCCAAATTCTTAAATCAAAACTTGAAACCTGAATATTACAATTTGGTCCTAGTAGGTAGAATGTGCGTATTTCTTTTCATCGAGTCATTTTTGTCAAAATGACACTAAATGGATCACAATAATCTCGTTGGACCCTGATTGGWTTAATAGGCCCATTTCTTTATAAAGAGTCTAATTGGGTCAAAATGACACTAATTGGATAATATTTAGTTTGATCAGACCTTTTTTTTTTAAAGGAAACTCCGGCAAATTTATAAAACGCAAAAAAAAAGTATTACAACGCAACCAAAAAACAGACAGACCGCAACCTACAACCAAAAGCCCCAAGGCCRTGGGAAACACCCCAACCAAGCCACAACAAGCCAAAAGAAACAAAGCCCATAAGAAGYAAACAAACAACARAAGATAAAAARGAGAASCTTAACCCAAACCAAAGSCCCCCAGAACCAAAAACRAGTCTTCAAGTCWACCATAAGTAAGCACAAGACGACTTGCCAACCAATCTGCACGAATGGAGATAGAATCCCTAATAACCGCAATAAGATCCTAAGCCGTACGCTTAGTCGCAGAAAAAAGTCTTCTATTACGCTCCTACCAAATATAGTAAACAGCAGCGGCCACWGCAAGCTTCTGCTTTAACAATTTCGGACAACTATTAGAATCCGAAATAACTTGTACAATCTGCTCCCACCTTGAAGGCATACCCGACAGATCCACCATATGTAAAACACTAGTCCATACAACTCCAGCATACGAACATTGAAAGAATAAATGATCATGACTATCCAAACATTGACCACAAAGCAAACACTCCAAATCTGGTGGTTCATCCTTCCAATGTAAACGGTCTTGAGTCGGAAGCCGTCTCTGACAAGCCAACCATAAACAGAATGCATGCTTCGGAATATGACCCGAGAACCATACCAATTTAGACCAAGGGATCACAGGATGATTACCCTCTAAGGAAGCCCAAGCATTACCCACTGTAAAATCCGAACACATAGTATAATTGTCCCCCCATAGAACTCTATCACGAACAGAGGTCAATAAAGGTAACAGAGAATTATAAAGCATATCAAACCGTTGACACCAATCATCAGGCCAATTACCATTCCAGCTTATAATAAGATCACGAACCGTCGTTAAGGTAGAGAACCCACATAGAATCCCGTCGCCTAGCAATATCCCACACATGTTTTGCAAGTAAA